CGTTGCAAACTTAATATACATTGTTCAGGGTACAAAAAGTTTTGTCTTTTTGGTACAAAAAGGTTACGTAAACTAAAATAAACTTTCTTTTACTAACAAAATTTTAAAAGTTTGCAAAAATATGCCGACGTACGCATATTTGAAGCTAAAATTGAACAACAAAAGACATGCACATCTAAAAGGGTATTCACAAGCAACTTGAGCACAAGCATATCCTTACTAATATCTGCCAGTCTATAAATTTACTTATATTCTATGACCAAGCAAAGAATGTATAGAGCTCATTCAGGCATATACACATTTGTCGTTAATATGTATAGGCTGCCTTCGAATTCTTCTTTTTTACTGGCGTACACACTGCTTACGCGATTATAGCCGAGTTAACAACAGCACGCCAGTCGTTTCTTCTTTTCGCTACGTGGCGCCAATTAGATATTCCAAGTGAAGCCAGGTGCTTCCCCACTTGGTCCTTCCAACGGAGTGGAGGTCTTCCTCTTCCTCTGCTTCCCCCGGCGGGTACTGCGTCGAATACTTTCAGAGCTGGAGTGTTTTCGTCCATTCGGACGACATGATCTAGCCAGCGTAACCGCTGTCTTTTAATTCGCTGAACTATGTCAATGGCGTCRAATATCTTGTACAGTTCATCGTTCCATCGAATGCGATATTCGCCGTGGCCAACGCGCAAAGGACCATAAATCTTTCGCAGAACTTTTCTCTCGAAAAACTCTCGATATCAATATCACCGGCATACGTCAGCAGCTGTAAACTCTTATAGAAGATGGTACCTTCTCTATTTAGTTCTGCAGCTCGAACTATTTTCTCCAGCAGCAGGTTAAAGAAGTCGCACGATAGGGAATCGCCTTGTCTGAAACCTCGTTTGGTTTCGAACGGCTTGGAGAGCTCCTTCCCGATTCTAACGGAGCTTTTGGTGTTGCTCAACGTCAGCTTACACAGCCCTATTAGTTTTGTGGGGATACCAAATGCAGACATCGCGTCATAAAGGCAGCTCCGTTTCGTGCTGGCGAAAGCAGCTTTGAAATCGACGAAGGGGTGGTGAGTGTCGATTCTCCTTTTACGGGTCTTTTCCAAGATTTGGCACATGGTGAATATCTCGTCAGTTGTTGATTTGCCAGGTCTAAAGCCACACTGATAAGGTTCAATCAGTTTGTTGGCGGTGGGCTTTAAGCTCTCACACAATACGCTCGATAGAACCTTATATGCGATATTTAGCCCGCAATCCAGCGGCCCCCGCCGCTTTGTTGTTCTTGCTATTCCAACTTCTTCCTCGTCGGGTTTCGACCTCTTTCTTTTTCTGTCTGCAAATGCGTTTCGCTTCCCTCTTCTACTCTTTGACATGTTATCTTTTAAAATGTACTCATGAGCGCGCTTTTACAAAAATAAAACGTGCATATATAAGTTTGCACTGCATGCGTCAACATATGTTCTTTTATCTTTTAAGCTTTGCTACATGCTTGTCAACTCAATCACCTTCCACTTGACTCATGTTGTCATTTTGCCGCATGCTCATAATTTCTCTCTTCCTGCTTGAGTTACTCGTTAAAATAGTTGTGTGTATGCAGAATGGGGTTGTGCCATAATTTAAAAACCTATCTTATACTTACATATACACTCATCTGCGACAAAAGCATAATATTGCAGTATATACTAATAGTTAGAGTGACAAGATAGTGTCATTTTTGTAACACACTGAGCGGGAAGTTTAATGTAATTAAAATATGTCAAAATTTAGCACCAGTTCATGGAAATTTTTCTTTATATATGCAGTATATGGACTCTTTACTATAATAGTAAGAGCTTAAACACAAGTTCAAATAGTCAAAGAACAGCTCTTATAGTCTATTTTTCCTGCCAGTTATGCCAAGGGCGAGAAGTTGGCTCTGCTCTGCTTTGCTACATTCCATTTTTCACACTACAAATACTTGCAAAATTTGTTAAAAAAGAATTTCATCTTTACTTCACTGTAAAGGAAGGTGAAAAGGATTTTTGATTTTTTGCTATTTCATGCCTCTGCAAAAGTTAAGGGAAGTTATGAAATTGCGACGAGTCAAATACTTTATATGAATTATATGAGTAATGTTATACTTTTTGACGAGTTTTTACAATATTTTATGCCTTTAAAGAGCAAAGAAATCCCTCAGAATGCGTGCTTGATTTCTCATTAATATGAATTGTATAATTCTTGCACAAACTGAAATCAAAACTAAAAATTCTTCTTTTTATTAGATCCTTCATTGAAGAACACAAAAATTTTTCATTCGTATTCTAGTGGGTATAAAGTTGAAGTCAAAACAGAAAAAACTTATTTCGGCTGCATCGAAGCTGCCATAAAATATCCCTCACAGGTTCAAGTTTTCTTTATAAGATTAAGATTTCGATCGGCGGGTATAAAAAGTGTTGTTTGTTTCGTACAAAAGAGTAAAATAAACTAAAAAAACCTTTCTCTTACTAACAAATTTTAAAATAATATTACGGAAATGCAAACGTCTATAAGCATATACTGATGTGCGCACATTTACAGTTTAAATTGAACAAGAAAAGCCATTCAACAACAAGTCATCAAAAAGGGAATTAAAAAACAACTTAAGGGGTTACATGGGTTTCACAGTTTCAAAAAAAAATCAATATTTTTGTCTTATTAAATTCCATGACATCTCTAGAATATTGTCCTAAATTTTCAAGTTGATCCGACTAATAGTTTCGGAGATACAACCTTGAAAAGGTAGACGCCCGAGCTCAGGTATAGGCTGAGGGCGCAGTAGGTAAAAATTTAAACGCGTTTTTCTCAAAAATATGTTTTTAAAGTCTGTTGTCAAGATTTCTCGCGAACTACTTAACCGAGCTTGATGAAATTTTACACAGGTCTTCGAGATATCATTTAAATCAGAACAAGTAATAGTCCGAACGTGCCAAGTCTGGAGAATATGGACAACACAAATGTTTATTAGTTACAATCGGCCTTCAGAGTAACTTTGGATGATTTATCATTTTCAGACTATAAGCTCTTGCGCTTTACGCATAACTTCTTGTTCCTGACCAACGCTTGTTGAGCTCATAGATCTAGCGCCCGAGTGCCCGAAGCCAGGAGAATGCCTGCTTGTTCCCATCCTAATGTGATTTGGGAATAATGGCCTTTCTAGCGAACTTATCGGCTTTACAGTTTCGGACGATTCCGCCGTGACCAGGCCTTCGGACAAGTTTAATATGGATGTAACTTGATAGCACAAATGATGTGATCATTCACCACTTGTCGGTGTGGATGCTTGCCTCCCTAAACGAATTCGCACATGATTGATTACACCTGCTACTACCTTAATAGATACCACTTCTACTTGAAGAACACTACAGTGGTAAGTTAGTTTATAAAAAAGACATCCATGAAAAATATAGAAAAACTGAATCGAATCAAATGTGTTTTCTGAATAGTTCAAATTTGTAAAACTATTATATTAGGGTTACTAAGAATACAAAGAATATACGAATTCTACTGTTCTAACAAATATATTTTACACTCAACTTTCAGATCTTCTTTAACTTTAGTCATTACCCTTTTTACTTACCTTGATTCGGCGGATGGTTTGCAGCACTCTGCATCTATAAAAGGAATAAAAGTGCAACGTTTGATGTAGTAGCCAGCAGACACACAAAAGCAATTAATATCAAATATAATCTTTTATTTGTTTTATTTGTCATCTCAAATGACATCTATGCTAAAATGAAAGAATAATATCTTTTAAGGAATATAATATTTTGTACATGAGATTAAGAGCTTACTTTTTCGGCCGCATCACTTGCCAATGGGTCCAAGTGATGATCATTGATTTTAATTCATCAAAAGTCGTTTTTATTCTTATTAAAACTTATACAGTGAATTTGTCACATTAGATAGAGTTGAGTAAATAACTTCTGTTCTTAAGTTCATTTGATTTTGATGCTCTAAAATAACAAAATAGCCTTTTTTAATAACATGGTAAAAAACTGTGAGTTCTTTATAAAAACAAATACACCATTTGCATAAAAATAATCGTCATAAAACTTTATAGCATATGCATTACAGGTACTTTTGTTAATCATGTGCATTAATATTATCAATTCGCAGAAGCTGTTACTCTTACTACTGTTACTTTGTATATGTTTCAATAATGTTCAGGCATTAACCGGTTTGAATATGAAAAAATTTCGCTTATTTGCATGAGAAATTCTGATCACTTACAACTGAACGACTGTGAGCAGTCGAGTACAACTAATTTCTTTATTAACAGTTGCTATCGTTTTCAGCCAAAACTAACGTCTATGGGGATGCTTCGCCTCACTACTGACAGATAAGCTACAGATTATTTACAGATTTTGTGAATTGTGTAGAGTGAAGGGTGCCATCAGCGTGAAATATTCCGAGAAATGTTCAAATGATGTAAGGAAGCTACCATTAAGCTCAATTTGCAGAATATTTTTCTTATTATTTAGATTGTTAGTTAAATGGTATAAGAATTTACATAGAATATTTCATTTTTTACGAAAATTTCTTTAAGTACTTTACAATCCGCTCTAACTATTCTAGGTATTCTTAAAATACGTGAAAATTTAATCTGGTCACTCTAGTCACGCGGCGACGCAATCTCGATGAAGCATAAATGCCGAAATAATGGCACTGCTTTATCCACTAGTTTTGGTAGTTGTGTGTGCGCCTCAAGGATATGCATTAGCAAAGTATTTGTAGAGTCTAATAATTGCCAGTTTTGCTCAAAATCGAAGAAGCATGTGAAGGTGACCAGAAGTGATTTTTCTTAATTCATTTAATCCTAACACATATTTTCTTTATGGAGCGAAATGAACAGGACTTATGTATGTATATACATGTGCATGTACATATGTACACACAAGTTACTTTTATTCAAACAAACTAATTACAATTTATTTAATTTACCAATATATTTTAACTACAATTAAATTTTTCTGTGTCACCTTATTATTGCAGAAGCACGAGTACGAATTTACACATGTCAATGTTCTCACTTGCTCAACTCAGCATGCAAAAAACCAACAAACATAACCGACATGATTTGATAAACAGCGAAGGCAGCCGCTATTCGTGTCTATTGAATGTAAACAAGTTGTGTAGCCGAGCACGAATTAGTGCATTCAGTAAAGCGTAAGAGAAAATTCAAAGAATTATTGAAAATTGGGCATTGTGTAAAATAAAATAGTGAAATACGAAAAAGTATAAGCTTGAGAAAATGTAAAAACGATAAAAAGAATGTTTAAATTGTGGTGATTTGAATAAATATGACTTACAAGAGAAAAAAATAAATGAGTAAACATACATAAGTGAAGTTCAAGATGAAATCGAAAAGTTGAAATGCAGAATATGTGTGTGGAAAGATGACAAATAAAACTAAAACGTGAAAAATTTTAGTAAAAATCTAACAAACGAAATAATATTTACCGAAGGTAAGTAAGAAAAATTATTGCGTATATTTGCTAGTAAAGTTATAGTACAAAGAATAAAAAATAATATTTCGTTCTGCCTGACTTATCCGTGAAATAATGTCAAATTATTTTTTTGTAATAATAATGTTCATATCTCTGAAGTATTCTGATGTTAGTATTTTCATGCCCAAGAGTGAGTCCTACAGTCATACTATAGTCTTAAAACTATTTACAGAAATCGTCAAAAAAAGAGATTTGGTTCTACAGAACATAATATCAGGGGATACATAACTTAGCCAGTCATACCAGCCGCGGTCATAGACAAAATGCTTCCTTGTAGAGGAGTTTTCAACTTGCTCATCTGACTAGTTCTTACTCTAGAGATACAGAAAGTTTACAGAAATAATATAGCAAAAACGAAATTTTATTTAAAATTTAGTTTTGCGATCTTAAGGTGGTATTGCACTCTATAAATCAAATTTTGGGCAGTTTTTTAACCAAAAATATTTTTAGTATCCATTTTTTATGGTGTTTTTATTGATATCTTAAGAATACAGAAAAACAAATTTACCAAAAAAATATTAAAAATTATAATAATTAGCGGGTGGGGGAGAGACAGTTTAAAAAAATTTTAAACGAATTTTTTTTTTTTTTGAAAAATGGCGACTGCCTGTAAATAAAAATAATTTTTTACGTTTTTTTTTTTAAATTCCTGATTTTTGTTTTAATATTAAAAACAAGGGATTAAGGATTATATAAAGATAATGGATAAAGGATTATATAAAGAAGGTTCACGCAAAATTTCAAGTAAATCGGTTGCGTAGAACTTGAGATAATGCCGGTACAGTGTGGAAAAAAGTAGTTTCGAGAAAAACGCGTTTAAAAAGTGAGTCTACCTAACTACCGGGCTAGGTACTGCGTCACTAAAGTAACTGTAGCTCTTAAAATAATTTAAATTTTTAAAAATCCTTTGGAGGATATTTATATTAAATATATGAAAAAAATCGAATTTTTCAAAATTCAAGAGTAGAATACCCCCTTAAAGTAAACGATAATTTTATTTAAGATACTGAGATTTTGCCTCATAAAGTTTTAGGCTGCTGTTGGGACTGGTTTGTTTCGCATCTGACCAGAAATTTCGTTTACTCTATGATTTACTTTGTATTTAGCTAAAGGTCATTCTGATTCTGTTCTTTGTTTTTTAAGTTCTTTGATACACGCCTAACCACCTTAATCATGCGGGAGTACTAAGGCTAAGCAAGTAGTGCAACAGTGAAGCCCGGATGGTACTCGCCAATATTATTCTAATATGAAAATCGGAAGCCATTTATTTGTTGTAGTGATATAATTCCAAATATTTAGATATATCAACAAAAATACTCAAATTTATTTCCTCTTCAATTCGATATGACAAATTTCATTTTCATTTGTGGCTGCATAAAAATAAATAATACTTTGCAATTGACCAGAAATTCTTCACAAATATCTAATAATGGTAGGTTTTTTTTATATTTAAATCAAAATCAAAATGAGTTGCCTCCTACACTTAAAAGAGTACGAGTATTCGTGTATAAAATTATTTATTAAGAGCTGCACAAATGGACCAATACATTGATCGCAAAGCTCAAGCAAAGCCGATAAACTGAACGAAAAGCAACATTTTCGCGGATTTCTTGTGACGCACAAATGCCGTTGGAATGACTGGGTTTAATGAAGGATTAACAACGTCTGAATGATTTTTCATCAATTTAACTCTATATATACGAACTTGTTGTACGAAAATATATACATGAGTAATTATGCAACTTAATATGTACAATGCGTAGGCACGTTTCAGCTGGTTTTCAGTCTGTCACAGAAATTCCGATGCGAGCGAGTAAATGAGTGAATATCTTTAGCACTCTTTTGGTCACCTTGATTCTGCCGATGGCTTACAGCCAGACGCTGTAATTTAATTCAGAAATTTTTTCCGTACATAAGCCACCGGGATGTGTGCTTGTATGCCAATTAAAAAACATTAACTCAATTCGTCACATAATTAATTCTATAACCCATATACACGCATGTACTATATATTATATTATATCACTTATATGCAAGATGCATAATTCTTCGCTAAAAATTCCCGGAAGCTCTTAGTCATTACTTTATGTGTTTTTAACGTTAATTGATAGCCAGACATTTAACTGCTTGGAAGATTATGTATTTTCATGATTATGAATTGTTCATAAAATTTTTTTTTAAGACTCATTCCCAGCTCTTGACCGATGCTACGGCTGCTACTAGGCCGGTCTCTTTCGACCAATTCAGCGATTTTATCGCAATTTTCGACCATAGACCTTCCGGAGCGTGGCGCAGCTTCGACCACCTCTACACGGTGGAAATGGAAACTGTATCGGGTCCATAAACTGCACAAATTTTATTGGCGGCTTGAAATGCATTTTTGCCTTTATCGTAGTAATACTGTAAAATATGCCGTATGTTCTCTTTATTTTGCTCCACGTTTGCGATGCTATAACTCACGAACGACTTAAAAGAAACGACAATCAATCAAATACGTGTTAGCGCCTGAAATGAGCTTTTCAAAAAGGTATAGCATGACTCGATGCGACGAATAAAACTAGAACTACGCGCTCTCAGCGCCAACTAGCGAAAATAAAGCAAGCCTTTTTTGACAACCTAATATATATGGGCCGATGGATTGCCGGCCGAGCTATTCAAACACGGCGGCGAAGAACTGATAAGGAGCATGCATCAGCTTCTATGTAAAATATCGTCGGACGAAAGCATGCCCAACGATTGGAATTTAAGTGTGATATGCGCAATCCTCAAGAAAGGAGACCCCACAATCTGCGCCAACTACCGTGGGATAAGCCTCAACATTGAATATAAGGTTCTATCGAGCGGATTGTGTGAAAGATTAAAGCCCACCGTCAACAAGCTGATTGGACCTTATCAGACCTGGAAAATCAACAACCGACCAGATATTCACCATGCGCCAAATCTTGGAAAAGACCCGTGAAAGGAGAATCGACACTCACCACCTCTTCGTCGATTTCAAAGCTGCTTTCGACAGCACGAAAAGGAGATGCCTTTATGCCGCGATGTGTGAATTTGGTATCTCTGCAAAACTTATACGGCTGTGTAAGCTGACGTTGAGCAGCACCAAAAGCTCCGTCAGAATCGGTAAGGACGTCTCCGAGTCATTCGATACCAAACGAGGTTTCAGACAAGGCGATTCCTTATCGTGCGACCTTTTCAACCTGCTTCTGGAGAAAATAGTTCGAGCTGCAGAACTAAATAGAGAAGGTAACATCTTCTATAAGAGTGTACAGCTGCTGACGTATGCCGATGATATTGATATCATTGGCCTCAACACCCGCGCCGTTAGTTATGTTTTCTCCAGACTGGACAAGGAAGCAACACAAATGGGTCTGGCAGTGAACGAGGGCAAGACGAAATATCTCCTATCATCAAACAAACACAGTCATAACTTTGAAGTCGTAGATAATTTCGTCTATCTTGGATCCAGCATAAACACCAGCAATAATGTCAGCCTGGAAATCCAATGCAGGATAACTCTTGCCAACAGGTGCTACTTCGGACTGAGTAGGCAGTTTAGAAGCAAAGTCCTCTCTCGACAAACAGAAACCAAACTCTATAAGTCACTCATAATTCCCGTCCTGCTATATGGTGCAGAGGCTTGGACGATGTCAACAATGGATGAGTCGACGTTGCGAGTTTTCGAGAGAAAAGTTCTGCGAAAGATTTATGGTCCTTTGCGCGTTGGCCATGGCGAATACCGCATTCGATGGAACGATGAGCTGTATAAGATATTTTATGCCATTGACATGCGAGTAGTTCAGGGAATTAAAAGACAGCGGCTACGCTGGCTAGGTCATGTTGTCCGAATGTACGAAAACACACCAGCTCTGAAAGTATTCGACGCAGTACCCGCCGGGGAAGCGAAGGAAGAGGAAGACCTCCAGTCCGTTGGAAGGACCGAGTGGAGAAGGACCTGGCTACGCTTGGAATATCCAATTGGCGCCACGTAGCGAAAAGAAGAAACGACTGGCGCGTGGTTGTTAACTCGGCTATAATAGCGTAAGCGGTGACTACGCCAATCAAGAAGAAGAAGAATATATATGCGTGTATGTTGTTGTTAAAGTTAATCGCCACTTTTATTGTCAGTCATTTGCACGCTCATTTCTTAGTTAACAACTGATTGTATTTAACGCAGCATTCAAACACGCTGACAAATCTGACGTAATCCACTTTATCTCTATAAAGGAAAACAGAATTTGAACGGTATTAAATTCAGCTGACATGCTCCCAAGATCAAAGTTCTTTGTTGCGATTGGTCTTAGTGTTAATTGTATAGATATGGGTATACATTTGTTATTGGAGTCAATTAATTCTTAATACCATTACAATGTTTAGCTATTGGACTTTGAACAAACGACATATAAATTTATTATTCCTATTAAAGCATAATCCAATCGTATTTCGTACACCGATATATAAACTTTCATCAATAGACTTCTCAATACTATATATTTATTTGGTACAAGGGGGGTCACTTAAAAAGTTAAGTAAAAATGAAAACAATGGATATAAGTTCTGCTAGAAAAAGTTTTCTCTTTTGTGCAATGAGGGTTAGGTCGAGTCGGTTGGATTTGTTTTACATACCTTCACATATCGAAATGTCCATATTTTGGTATTAACAGCCGTTATTCCTTCCCGTGATTCATTAGCTCATCGTCTACTATTTTAACTTAGTTTTCGAAGCCATTCAAGTACTCCCTTCTCATAGATGAAGCAAGTTTGCGAAATGAAAACCATATTCGAAGAATTTTTGCTGAGCTACTCATAGAGTACTTGCCATCGCCAAGCTTTTGTTGAAAATAGTCATAGCTATTCCATTGCAATTTTTTTTATTATTATTATATATCGATTTAATTAAATGTTTTAAAGGTTTTTCAACCTCAGTTTAATTACAGTTACCACAACAGTTACCTGCT